GAAATCATGCCTGCTGCCTACATGACTTACTGCTAAACTGTTCCTGTATCAGGCTCAGGCTTTGTCTCCTTAGGCTGTTAGTAGAGCGTTAGGAATATCTTACCTGATCAATAGACAGGCAGTTACTACAAGTATCTTTAACGCTTCCTCTGCTGTACACTAGAAACTCACTTTATCACTTCCAGTTTTTCTGAATAGTCTTTGCTGCAACTTATACCTCTTGCTGTGATAGAGGATTTGAAGCTCCTCACTCTTCCAGTAGGGTAAATCAGGTATGTAACTATTTGAAATAAACCAAGTGATGGAAAAGGAGAACAGACACAGTGCCACACAAGAAGCCCGCCAATCACTGTGCCATAAGCAAAGTGCAGAATCTGCTGCATATATCCCATGAAGTCCCGGCACTGGGCAGGAGCCCAGCCCACACAAACCCAACTACCTCAGGCACTGGCCATACCAGAGAATCCCAAACCCTGTCACCACCATGGAAGCTGAGAACATCATATTTATTCATTCCTTTGAAGACTTTCCTATCATGCAACCATCCTGACAGAAAGCTCTCCAACAGCCTATCCCCACTCTTCAGTCTTCACTGAACTGTTTTTCACTGAACAGTTTGCGGAAGCCCTTTGGAGAACAATTAACTACCCAGGTTTTCACGTATCCAGTTCATTCTCAAACAGAAAAAATCACAGCCTAGCCATCTCCATCATTCCGTACATACAATACTTGCTTTGCTGTGCCCTTCCACCCCTCCACACAGCTTTAACAGCCTGCAGCTTTCACCCCATTTGCAGCACATGATTAGCATGTGCATCGTGTCTGTGCTTCCAACATATTTCACAATCCTTTCCAGGGAAGGCTGAAGACAGGATAACATCTCTCCAACACGCAACTATTTTCAGTAAATCATTGCATCTGCTTTAACAGCCCTGATCAAAATTAATTTCAATCCTAACTGAAGAAATTGTCACAGCATAAGAAATTAACATAGCTTAACCTGTGCAACTTAGCTATAAAAATTCAACCCAACTTTCTCAGCCTCCTGCACCTACCCAGCAACTCCTCTGTCACAGCCAGCCTCCTGCAAGCACCGTGTCCCCGGCACAGCACACAGACTCCCTGTGGCTGCAGTGACAGGGACACAAACATCTGGCTCACCTACCCTGCTGGGGTGGGATGGGAGGGACAATCCCCAGCTTTCCTCCAGCCTGGCCCCAGAGCCAGGGTAGCTCTATCATGGAGATAAAAAAGCCTTGAGACAAAAGGCAAAAGTAGCCGATGATGATCAGTTGTACAATGAAAGGAATGAAGCATTTTAAGGGACTTTAACAAAACAGGAACTTTAAAAAAAACACCCTGTATCTGTTCAAAATTATGTTGGATAAAAAGGTAGAATGAACGTCTCTATTTTCATACAAGGATATATTTCCTTCATGTAAACTCTTGGCAGACTGTACGCTCCAGTCTACAGGATAACAACCATACAATTAAGTTATCACTTCCCAATTATACACAAATTAATGATTCACTGCCACAGGGAAAAACAAGCCAATTCATACATCATTCTTAGAGCAGCTAATTGGGCGTGGAGTGGGCCAGATCTGGTGGTAAATGGTAAGTAATGCACATAGTATATCAAATTTTGCATGTAGATAGTAAAGTTAATTTGCTTCCCATGAAAGAAAAGACTTTTTGAGAAGTACATCATTTATCTCAACAGTAACATGCAAGACTGCCTTCACACATACACCTACCATTACAGATGTCCATAACACCGAAAATACCACATTTCAAGATGTGTGTGTACAAGTGTATGTATATATATGCATACATATGTGTATACAGCCACAAATAGAACCTTACAATTCAAACAAAATTCACTAAGAATATAAGGATATTGAAGTCTCAAGGCTTCCACGAATAATGTATGTATGTCAAGTCTTAGACTAATACAGAGTTGCCTCTCTATCTTCTCAATCGCATGCCATTTATTTGCAGGTCTTAGGAAAATTAAATGCAATTTGTTGGCAACATCCAATTGCTTTTTTGTGTAAAAATGAAGCCAGTCCCTACTGGAAAGTTAGGAAGTGGAACCAGCTCCAGAGACATTTTTGTTTGGCTGTGTTTTGGGTGGTTCTTTTTAAGCAAGCACCAACAAAAAAAAATTAAGCTGTTCTTAAGGGCCTTTTTATTTAAAACATGAAAGACATTACTCTTTGCTTTTCTCTTTCCCCACAGGCAAAATAACACCATACACATCTAAGCAATGTGCTTAGCAATGTGCTAAACCTGTGCTTGCCAATGTGGTGTGTTGTTCTCCCCATAACACAACTGCTTCTGAGCTACAATCATTTGCTCACAGCTCCATGGAAGACTTGGTATGAGCAGAAGACATTTAGACTTCAGAGCCTGAAAACTGAACACACTTCCTCTATACAGAATAACACTTGCTTTCTTTTTCCTTAAAGTTGCTAGAAAAATTATGAAAATTGCCTTTTCAAAACACCAGCGGCGGTGCACATTGATGTTGACGTGCAATGACCTAAATGCTTTCTGTATTTTTTTCTGCTGTTCTAATAGCACACTTAGATATTTTACCCTTTTTTCACTCTCCCCTATAAACAGAAGAGGGAAATAAATCCCTTACGTGTTTTCCTGGCTGATGCCAAAGGAACTCATCAAGCCGCAGCGGGATGCAGTGAGATCCAAAACTGGTCTCTTTGTAGTTGAAAAGGAAAGCTTTCAGCCAACTGGAAGTGACTTCTGATGGAAACTTTATGATTTTTCTTTTCCAAGAGATTAATTGAAGGGAAAGTTTAACTTGATATCTCATTCCAGTATTTTTGGGGAACTGATAATCAGTGATAACTGATATGCTCTCAATTTAAGAGTAAAAGCTTTTCTTCCTCATGCAAATGGCATCACACATTTGGTATTGATACTGCAGAAGGATTTGGCCTGAACTCCAAATTATCTAAGGATTCAAACTCATGATACTGATTATTTTTCAAATCTCATGTGTTATAAGACAAACTGAAGTTCACATTCCCTTGCATGTTGGAACCCTTAGAAAATAACTAGTTCATGTTTCAAAGGGTCTGATTTTCTAATCACAAAGACTAGGATTTTTTCCTCTGTATTTTATTTTTATCATTCAAAATTCCCATGTAATCCACATCCTCCAAATGATGAGGAATTATTGCAGATGGCACAATATCTTTGCAAGAACTCCCTAACCCACTGTAAATCGGTGCAAGGTCGGCAAGGGCTGCACACATGGCAGCAACCTTTCATAACAGTCTCTTCAGAGTCCTAATCAGCACCTAGGAACAGATTTCCAAACGCACACAGGCAACTAGCAAACAGGTAAGCCCTGTGTTCCCAAAAGCATCGATTTCTCTGACACCAAGCCATGAAATACAACAGTCCAAAACCACAGCTGTGTAACCTGCATCCCCATCACTGAGCAAGGGCACCATGGTGCTGCTTACATCAAAACATGACATCATGCCCAAGATGGAGCATCACCATAGACAATGACCTGCAGAAAAAGCAGCTTAAAAATCACACTCCCAGATTATTCCTGTTCTGGGTAATGCCATGTGGCTATGGGCTGGAGCAGGGAGAATTGCCATAGCACAGGGCTCTTGCTGTCAGATGCTGCCAATCACAGACATGACAAGGGGAGCAGCAAGTCACCATTTCACGATGGAGAGTAAAAGCACACTGGAGCAAAAGTTTGCATTTCTGTTTATGCTTTCTCTGTATTGCTTCCAAATAAAGCCAGCACCACTCACAGAAATTTCCACTGTCCTTAAATAAACAAACAAATAAATAAATAAATAACTACTAAACCCCCAAGAAAGGTGTTCTATGCATCACTCACACCTTCAGGAGACTTAGGGGGATAGGATCTTTTCAGTAGATCCCAGCATGTTAGAGGAAAGAAGATGGTTAAAAATAAAATGCCAACATTTCTGTCCAGTTGTGCTCTGGCTGGAACTTGGTGCTTGGTGAGAGGGCAGGCTGTGTCAGTCAGAAGGATCACACCCACCCCCATGGCAAGAACACACCCCACACTTCTATGTATTTGCTGCAGAAGTAGAAATCCCAAACCCAAATCATCCACCATAGTCCTCTGTAGGGCAGGCAGGATGCATCTCCACTCCTGGTATCTTCCTTCTCCCATTCCCACACTTGAGCAGCCCTCAGTTAAAAGCTGGGACATGGTCAAACTCTCTGTTGTCAGCAGGAACATCTGGTTGAGTTGATGATACAGGAATTTCACACGCTGTTTCACAGCAGCTTTGGTGGCAAAGCATTCGAGCAAGTGAAGTAACGCACGATTACAGGTCTGAGCAAAAGTCGGAGGTTTTGCCTGATTTTGCCTTAGGTCAAAAAGACAGATACATACATGGCAGGACTCTGGTTTGTTGGTTTTTTTTTTTTCTGACCAGCATATAAGCCCATATGTGACCCTCCACTTCCAAATGAGCATTGTGGGAAGAAACACTAAAACATTTTAGAGCCATATTTACAAACACTGGGTCATCCAAAGATTCAGAGAGAAGCAGTTCTGAAATATGCTGGCCTGGTGTTTCATTCCCCATCCCACCACCTAATGCTGTACCTGAGCCACTCTGCCATTCCTGTAAGGAGGGCAAGATACTGCTCCTACTCAGCAGAGCTCATTCCAACTGGCCACACATGTGCATGGGGTGACATCTCTGCCACCTCCTATAAAATAGAAATTATAAATCCTGTCCACACACAGCCAAGTTAAAAAAAAAATCTCACAGTAATAATTTCCCTAAATTTTTAAAAGAAAATAATTTTAAAAATATTAAAGGTAATTCTCATGGAGACTGATGTCAGACTAAATGGAATAAAGTAACATTTTCATTCCACTAAATGAAATGAACACAGAACCCATGCACAAAAACCAAAACCACGGAGTTTGCATTGGAAAGACAGTTTAAAAATCTCAAACTTTAACCCAGGACATTTTGTTTTTTATTAAAGTATGAATGTATTTATGCTGGAGAACCATTTACATACATTGTAAAGCAACAAGCATATTTTCCAAGATGTGTGGGCCTTCAATGTTTTCATGCTCTATCTACATGCTTTAACATGGACTCACACATACACTCACATACAAACCTACAGACCCACAAAAACACAAACATAGAGCTATCTGCTTTGATTAGCTTCCTTTTAAGGCTCTGTAAGGTGTCCTAGTGCCCCTAACATTACCATAATTACAAACAAAATCATACAAAGGAGCAGCATTACCTGCAAACTATTGATCTGCTCTTGGCCTTAAAAAATATCAAGTGAAACAAGTTTTTCCTTTCATTTGAGTTTTATTAAACATCTGCATTTAAGAAAGGCATGACTGTATATCTGCAAACAAGGAAAGATACGGGAGTCTTAACATGAGCTTCTCAACCAGAACTGATGTTCAAACCTGACCCCTAAGGGACCATTTCCTTTGATCTCTACAGTAACACAGCCCTGTATGTGCAGCGAAGCACTACCAGCTCCATTCCACGAGGGCCACTCAACCAGCTATGCAGAGACCGGTAACATGGAGTTGAGTCTACTGTGCTTGTATCAGTTCAGACCTGAGGTTGATAAGTCAAAATTCAAACACTGACAGACCCAAGCGTCCCTCAACACCTACCAGTGGTCCCCCGTCCTGCAGAACATAGCAGGGTTGGAAAATGAACAGATAGTGGTGCTGGCTCACTGCGCCCCTATACGTCATAGAGTATTTTTGCCCACCCCTTTTTGGTATCCTGCAGTATATAGTCTGAAACTGCAACTACTGGTGTTGGGTGACAGATGTGGCAGCAGGTATATTAAGAAAATAGGTACAATGAATAAAATAAAGGATAGCATATGATATAATGAGTACATAAAAGCATCGACTTTTATCTGTGAAATGTGAATTAAATGCAGAATGGCAGATCATTAGTCTAAAAGGCTATGTATGGCTGTCTTAGCCTACGTACGGTCAAAGAATTTTTGTGATGCATCATGGAGAAAGATTCTTCAGGAGCCATTAGGGCTTTCCAGGTCTACTTGCTCTTGTGCACCAGCATCAGACCCCAGCTTGTAATGCCAGGGAAGCAACTAATAAAATTGCCTGACCAGCCTTATAAGACAAACAGGAATGACTCCACTTCATGGTATGCACCTGAACTACAGAGATGAGAAAGGGACAGTGATGGGTGGGTGAGAGAAATGGGGGAGAGAGCTTTTTTTCTCACTTTTACAACAGCAGCAGATTTCAATGTAATTACTTTAATGATGCATATCTGTAGGTACTGAATTGCTCTTTTGATTTAAAAAGCTGGTCAGGGAAGTGTTTGGCAGTCCTTTCCTTCCCCAGTTTCAATTGTTACTTATTCATCTATCAGCTCTCATTCCCTAGGCCATTTCTGCCTTTGCTGAACCATGATTGAGTTCAGTCAGCCATCATCAGACTCAAATTCATGAGACACTTCCTCTGACGAGCTGTTCCTGTGGATCCGACCATCGCTTTTCATGCTGTGAAAAGTTTTCTTAAATGCCTCCATCATGGCATGGGCCAGCTTCTTAGCCTCCAGCTTGCTCTCACACTCTACAGCATGGCAGTCCATCTGGTAGGACAAGTCATCGTTGATCTCCCGATAGACCCAAGCAAAGATGTTTGGGCTGATGTTGTGGTCAGCAGTGCAGTAGGCTATACGTGCTACCTGAAAGGTATCCATGTGGACTGTCGCCTCACCTTTGAGGTCCAGATGATGCAGCCAGACTTGGAAAGGGCGAATTTCCAGAAGAGCATTAGCTGGGTAAATATCCTCCCTGGCGAGTGTGTGCTTCTTCCATAATTCAATGACCGGTTTCTCTGTGCAGCCTGACAAAAATTGCATCCCTGTTGTGGAAATCTTACCCAAATATGTAACCTGCAAAGAAGAGCAAAGACAAGTGAAACACAGACAGCAGATTCCAGCATTACTTCCTGCCAGCCCAGGGAACTGAACTTTATCTGGAAGAAAGCACCACCTAGTCCCACCACCCCAGCAAACTCCCCAGTTTCCTCCATCATCTTCCAGAAAACAGTTTTCAAACTGCTGTGCAGATATTTTCTTTTCCAGATGCTGACTTCATCATTCAAGCCTGGATGCTAATAATGTTCAGTCTCTTGAGTTCCAAGGGATTTCACTCTCTCCCATGTAAAGCCCAGCTTTAGAGCCCATAACTGTACCTTTAAACTCATATTAGGAATCCAAGGGCCAGTGGAGCAGGCCCCAGGCAGTTGCAATACCAATCACTTTTTTTTTTCTTTCTACCTTATTCAGATGATTTATTTGTATCTTATTTCAAACATTAATAATAGGGAGACTGAGACATTCTCAGTTTGATAATGCAAGGCTGCAGGGGGTCAGAAAAGCATGACTATGGCAGAGGATTTTAATCTGTTTGAATGTTTTTTTTCAAAATGATCTTGTTTATCCAGCACTTCTGCTGTTTCTACTTAAATATTAAGCCAGGGATAGCTCAAAGCTGTTCAAAACTCTATATTTGAGCAGGGCTGAGATATTATTACATCAATTTAAGAAAATACATTGTTAGAAAAATCTGTTAATAAATCTACCTTAGTTTAATCATATCATCTCTGGGGTTTTCTGTCTGACTGTTTTGAACAAATACCTTGTTATCTAACCTGCACAGTAAAGCAACGTGGTTTTAGTGCTCTTACTTTATTTTGTTCACCAAAAATCAAATTCACTGAGAAGGCCATATTAAAATTCTGTATCAAGCCTGTGCAGAAACATTCCCATGAATCTGTGCAGCTGCTAAAGAGGCTTTCTCCCACTTACAGCTGAATGGAAGAATATTTTATCTGGAAAAACAGATTTTCTGTGGAAAAGAGAGATCAATGCCACATAAATACAGTTATGCAGATATTGATGTTATCAGAACGATGCATTTAAGAACAACTATGTTTAAGCAAAATTGATCCTTATTTGTCTCTTGCAGCAATAACTGCTTGAGATGGAATCTCATGCTTCTGGCTCGATGTCTTATAACTTCATGTGCATTTTACAGAAGGCACTTGGATAAAAAAAACCACCATAGTCACATGCACTTTCCAAACTAATTTCTACAAAACTCTGTATTAAGCATATGGTATCAGCTATTTTTATTTTGTATATGCTTTAATAAACGCAACAAAGGAAATTCCATATTTAAACACACTTTAAAAAATCATATCCACAAGGAATACAGGATTTGTATTCCATGAAACAAAATTTTTTATAATAAAAATATTTTGCTGCAAGCTTCATAGGTTTTGTTAAACTCAGAGACCAAAATGAAGCATAATTAAGGAAAAAGCTTACAAAATATTATTGAAAGTCTGTGTGGCTTAATTGCGCCTGCCAAAAAAGTTTCATAGCACTGACATTTCAATACGGGCAGTGTTATTCTTTGCCTATAAATATTCATTCTTTGCGCTGGGAATACGTTATATCTTATAAAGCTTTGTATGTTTTGAACAGTGGGAAACACAACAGCTAGAACAGTTGTTCACAAGGCAAGACCTACCAGTGTTTCGCTTTATTTTATTAGTGATGAGAGCTGAGTTCCCTAAAGTACTGTAGAGTAACTTAAAAGAAAACCTCAGAGCTCATACGGCCAACTAAATATGTACAAACAGCACATACAAGACCAAAGAGGAACGTGTTTTCAACAGACTGTGGGGTATTTTGACATACTCCCACAGTCATATTGATTTGAAAATACCAAGACCACTGTGCAAATCTGCACATTCAACATATTCTCCAAAGCTTAGCTCACCCCCATTTCATATTCACAAGCCAGCTAACAAAAGACTAACACACATTGTAAATTACATGAGCATGTGGGGGTAGATTTATAGCCAAGTGCAGTAACAGAAGTCCTTCACTGACTTCAAAGAGATCTGCACAAAGCCTTTAAACCCTGAGGAACAGGGAATTAGCCTTTTGCTCATGCACTTTGTCACTGCCCAAATACAGTTTTCAATCCCCAGCCACTGGAGAGATGCTGCCACCACTGCAACATTTTGTCCGCTCAGCAACTGTTTGGAGAAGACCAGTATTAATCGCAGCATGAAGAAATAAGCACCTCTTGTTAGTGCACAACAGTAAATGTAGGGAATTGTTTCATTACAGGCTTGTGTGCAAGAGGAAGCTGTTGACAGCACGTGAGCTGCCCTGCCATAACAGTGTGAGGAATGGGAGAGGAAAGCAAAGGCAGCTACATCCAACTGAGGAAGCACTACCATGGGTCTTCCCAGGCAGTTAGAGCTGCTCAGCTCACTGCTGCAAGTTCACCCCCCAGCACACAAAGGATCAGCTTCTCAGCATGGGTGACTCCCGAGTGATGCTTGGGACACCTCTGGCAGCTGAGGAGCAAGCAAGCTAGTTGTTCACACAGGAGTGCAAATTGAGTTTAATATTTTCTCTGTTCCTTCTCTGCTACTAACTGCAGCCCCCTGTTGGCCACCAATCTGTGCATGGCCTGCCTAAATGTGAAGTTAAAAACAAAAAAAAAAAGTATTTCCTTAAAAATAAGGTATTTGTATTTTATGAAGAAAAAGCAGTGAATTACTCTGAAAGCAGCAAAGGCAAAAGTAACTAATAAGAAAGATGGGACTATGGCTTGTTTACCAAAATGGGATGTAATGGTCTGATTTACTGTCCCAGTTCTGTCAAAATATAACTATGTTGGAACCATTGGAAAGTTGCTTCCTTTAACACCACTTTGCAACTCTATTATATAAATTTCTTTTTCCTTTGATGATACATTCATAAATATTTATAAAATGCTTAGACGTTATAAGAAGGAGTTCACAGGAAAGAGAAAATACAAAAAACCTTTGGTTTAGAGTCTCTCTTGTACTGTGTCTTACATAGAAACATTAACACCTAGTAATGTCATTTTGGGTGGGTTGTTTGTTTTTTTTTTAACAAATTACCTTTTTTTTCCTAGTTGAGATACAAGCATTTCAACAAGAGTACCATTACTGAAGCTCTTAGTGATGACAGATGTCTAACATTTCATCGCTTTATGGTGCCCTGCTAAATACAGAACAGGGAAATAGGGGCTGACGAGACACCTCTAATATTTGACACAAAAAAAAAGGCAGCATCCTGTTAAGAACAAAGTTTTCTTCATGATTAACTATAATATACATTTTACCCATTACACAGTAACCCATTGACGCTGGCCAATTTAGTAACTTAGTAACGTTTGTGTAATTGCAGAGACAGTACTGGTAAAAGATGGATTTATAGGGCACTTTTCTCTGAGCTCTCAGTTACAAGGCTATTCTTGTAACTGATGCTCCCTGCATTTCGGCTCCTACCTCAACACATCCCACAGCACACCCGCCTTTATTTAAATGCCCAGAAACCACTGACCACACACACCATTAGAGTAAAGCTATTACAGTACAACCATCTTCCTTTCCAATTTCCAAGTTTGCCAACCAAATATCAAAGAACATATCATTCCTTCCATTATCAGATGGAGAAGAAAACTATTTTGAGGCAAAAAATCCCACTGGTTGTCTTTTCCACTAAAACTGATGGTATCTCATCAGTGTGAAGCCAGCAGGAAGTATACAGAAAAAATGTAATTTCATCTTTCATACTAGTAAGAACCAGATATGAAGGGCACAGAAAGACATTGTTGATGTTATTATTATGGGTGTATGTGCAAACACACACTGAAGAAGTGCCAGAACAGAATCAGCTGTATATAGCCTATCTAACTAGAGAGTCATTGACAAGGACTAGCAATGCCTACAGTTCAGGTTAAAAGCCCCATCTGTGATAACACAGCTCAGATCTCCAGCCAAAGTTCAGCATGGCTGAATAATGCTCCCTCTTCATCCAACACTAGACAGACTTCACTTAGCAGCAAATATCAGTCCAGGAAGATAACTTCTTTGTGACAGCATGCATGTCCTATAGCAAGTGCCATCCTATACATGCTGAGGCCAGCAGCCATGTTCCCTCCCCTCTACCCTCAGTGCAAAATAGGGTGGTTATAATGTGTAAATTATGATCAAGCTGTCACAGCCTTTCCTTGTTTTGGACACGGTATTTGAAATGAGAAAAGAAATGGAAAAGCCACCTCAATGCCACTTTGTTAGCATTAAGCAATAAAGACATTTAATTTCATATTTTCTTCTAGGGGCAGGAATATATTTCTTTATGGCACTTTCAGTACGTTGGTTCGTGTGTTCCATCTTTCCCATGGATTTCTGGAAGATAAAACAGCAACTTCTCATGCATGTTAAAAAGCATCCACATTCTCTCTGGTTGTTCTATGGCAAACTGGCATTTTCCATCTGATCCTTCACTCCCTGGCGAGCCACTGTCACCCAACATGACATAAAATACACTTGTGGTTTCAGCACTTCTATGCTTGCAAACATTCAAACCTTCAGCAAAAGCCAAGATGCTCTGAAGAGCTCCTTATTTCACCCTAGGGGCTTGCCAACACCAGTGTAATTTTCTGATAAAATTGTCCTCCACAGAAACATGCTGTGCCTTTGCCCTTCTGTAACAGTTACAGCCATCTGACATGCAGCTATGTCTCATGTCAAAGGACATGAAGATTAATCAGTGTCATCTTTCATGTACTGTCCTGAAAACACAAAAACATCTGAGTACTTTGACTTTGTTTTCAGCCCCTTCACTCCACAATGTAAAGTGAATATATCTATTAATAACTAGGCTCAAGAGCTTACCAACTTTGAAGGGACCAATATAGCTGCTGCCATAGACCTTTTCACTTCTAGCACAGCACAAATTGGCAGAAGTAATAAGGGAGTTTTTACTTTCCATATTCGATTCTTTTCTTTATCATTGACCTCATACTGTTTACTTGAGATAACGAACAACTCAGC